CAATAAAAAAATCGCTAATAAAAATTCCCGATTTTCGACTAAAAAAAATGTCGTAGTATGCTCTGAAACTTTAATAAACATTTCTAATTTTGTCCCAAGGTAGACCTTTTAGTACTTGACATTAAAAAAAAATTATTGAAATCGGTTTACAACTTCAAATTTTAAGGGGGTGTTTTCATTAAAAATGGGTAACACTGTATGTATATAGGATAAAGAAAACACTTTTTTCTGACTTTTCACATGAAGTCCAGTTGAAACCAGAAACCTTCTTGAAAAATTCAACGTTTTTCTGATAAAAAAATCTCTACAGTATCGTAATAGACATTATGAATAATTCTTACCGAAACGACGCACTACTACTGACTATGACCAACTCGTCAATACTGCTCTTTTGAGAGTTTGTACGGATTTAATCCTATTATATAAATGGCTACGGTTGTACGTGTTCGCGGAATGTTTTGCGTTCCATTATTTTCGTGGTTTTTCTCTAATTGAACAAAGCTTATACTCCAAAATAGATAATTCGAGTTATTGAGTTTGCTAGTGAACATAATTCGTAAAGGCGATCTCAAAATTGGATTTCATTAACTCCCACTGAAAGATTTAATAAAAACGACAACAATCTCAGGTTTCGCGAATTCAATATTGTGTTACCCAAAACGCTTCGGTATCTTCCCTCTTCTTCCAAATCTTGTTATTACTTGTGATGAAGCCGTCGCATCTTGGTGTCGTCTATCAAATTTATTTTCTCCCTCTTCATCTTCTCCTTGCTGTGTTACATTTTCATTGTAAATGCTATTGTTTTCTCCGTCTTGATTTTCTGGTATCTCGTTAATATCCACTTCTCTAGACTTTTCTAATTGGTTCGCCGTGTCTGTCTCAATTTCTAATGGAAACAATCGCTACAGAGGACGAATTAACGGGTGATTTTTTAAGAGCTTGAGAACTTTTTTTAAAAAAAAAACGCATAAAATTTGCAAAATCTTATCGGTTCTTTATTTGAAACGTTAGATTGGTCCATGACATTTACTTTTTGAAGATAATTCCATTTAAATGTTGACCGCGGCTGCGTCTTAGGTGGTCCATTCGGAAAGTCCAATTTTGGGCAACTTTTTCGAGCATTTCGGCCGGAATAGCCCGAATTTCTTCGGAAATGTTGTCTTCCAAAGCTGGAATAGTTGCTGGCTTATTTCTGTAGAATTTAGACTTGACGTAGCCCCACAAAAAATAGTCTAAAGGCGTCAAATCGCATGATCTTGGTGGCCAACTTACCGGTCCATTTCTTGAGATGAATTGTTCTCCGAAGTTTTCCCTCGTTCTGTTTTAACTCGTGCTTCTCTTTCTTGTGAAATATCCAATATCCTCAATTTTTTAAATGAAGTTACCCTTTTTTGACCAGTATGGACTAATTCTGCCAGATATTCCTTCCTAAATCGACTCGAAGTTTTATCAGATACTTGTATCTTTTCAGTAGATGACATCTGTCAACCTTATTTAACTCGGGAGTATCGGTGCGTGAGTTTGAACTAATAAACATCAAAGGCGTTAATGGAATCAGATCCTCTTCGCTACTTGAGATATATGTGAGAGGTCGAGCATTGAATATTTGCTTCACAGTCATACAAAACAGTCATGAGTTCTTCATAATTTAACGATGATTTTCCTAAATTATGACGCAATACTTCCTTTATAATTCTGACTATTCGCTCCCACTTTCACGGAAAGTGTTCAAGTGACTGCTCATCGTTTTGAGGTTCAACTTAGTACACCTCGAACTTCAGTGTTCAAGAACTCTTCCATTTGGAGAATTGTATTCGTGTGGAATGAACTTCCTAAAAACGTTTTTCCAAATGAATTTAATCTCCAGCAACTCAAATCCAACGTGAATCGCTACTTTCGCACAGACACCGCTCTTAGAGCGCCTTGAGGATATTCCTGTAGTGTTTGTGCTTTGTCCTTGAAAAAAAACGACACAGTAGTATGAATATTAGAAAATATAAAAAAAGAAAGCTGTATCGATAAGTTTTGATATCTATTGTTGTAAATCATGCCTTAGAGAGACTAACGCCGGCCGCCACTGGTAGCCATGAACCAATCGTGACGTAGCTAAGAGCGTGCGAATGTCGATGTTCGCTGCCGCTCTAGATGTAGCGAGAACAATGCTACAGACTTCGATGGAATTTCAGCGAAATTCCTACTGTATTTGATTACGGTATATAAACGCTAACCACGAGCGTATCGACACAGTCAAGTGGAAGTTACAGTGCGGTGCGCGAAGCGATCTGGTAAGGCGATAGACATTCGAATAATAGTTGAAGTGTTTATTGTATTCAAAGTAAATTAAAGTTGAGTTTGATTATTGTTCAGTATAGTTAATTATTGCTCAACCCACGGGGAAAAACGTAATACTATTTTCATTTAGTATAGGTCAGTTATATCCACTGTTACTATCACGAGTGGCTGGCTTCTTCAGAGGTTTATTCATCTTGATGATTCACCAAGTCACCTTGATGATGATTTCATGATAATTTCCTACGACGTAGTTTAACTTTAACAGCAGAAGTGCTACATTCTTCGTCGAAATTAATTGCCTTCCATAAAAAATGTCGATTTAGGGTCGATAAAAATGTGTCATTGTCTCCAAAAAGGTTCAATGCTGATTTATACAGTCAACTCACCTGCACTTTCTTATCCAGAAAACTGCCAACGCGAATATTCCCAGTCCAATCATCACTAAAGACGTCGCCACCTGTAACCAGATTATTGAAAACTGTTAATTAGATTATCGAAAAGTGGAGCGTGATTTGATTAACATGCACAATTTGACATCGGCATCATACTCTAACCGCAATCTAGCGTTATCGAAATTCGTAATTGAATTAGGAGGATTAAGATAAATGTACAATCCAGAGTTGGATCAACAGCATAATGCATCTCAATTTTTATCACTAGAACTGTTCCCCTCCTACATGAATACATATTTATTCATTTACGTATTATCTTGTGAATAATTCAACAAGAAGGATTGCGTTACCCAGATTTACTTATCTCATTTCAAATAAACAATATTATTCTCATTGTATCATTATCATCGATTTCTGTGCTACTACCGACCCGCCTCATTTCTGCAAGGATACAATACACAATTTAAAAGCAAGGCATATAAATTCAACAAATTCAAACTAACGAAGTTTTTAGTTTTCTTAATACTCACAAAATTGCCTACAACTCATGCCCTTATTCGCCGTTTTCTCTGTAAAGCGAAGCTTGCGCAAGCCTGCTTAAAACTCAAGACAAGCTTAAATGTTTGCGGTATGCACCACAGAACAATAAAAGTAGCTTAGCCAAGCGGCAAAATAACTTGGCAACGCTGTATCTTTTCGGGGATAATTACTGTTTACGCGTCAAATTACGATAATGGGGGTTTCAATGGTATACTTCCACCTTGTTGTAATAAAGTATCAGAATCAGACAAAAGAACATACAACGGAGAATTAATTTTTGCAATTCAATCATGGCCCCCTGTATTGCAAAATAAGATCTAACTGATCAAGTATGGAGGGAGAAATGTTCTACTGAGGACTATCTGCTTCTCAGCCGATGGCCAGCTCTGCTGAACAATAATAATACTATAGAAATACCATAAAATACTATAATAATACTATATAGCAAATACTATATAAAATTTATATCTTATGTGATTATATCAACGAAAAAGTAAAAACAATCGAATGTTTTTTTACAAAATGTTTTCTAATTATAAAGCATTTTCTATGAGCTCCAGCACATACAGCGTTGTCAGCTTGCTCAGTCTGAATCTTCTACAAAAGTATCATCCATCTTCTCGAAATAGTTGCGCCTTCTAAAAATTGTATCAGAATGTATCTAATAGGTTGTTGCAAGAGTTTTGTCCGTTTTAATGTTATTATATAGGAGTGACTTTCAAAGAAAGGACTATTATAGTTTTCACACAACAAAAGACTCGCAAAAATGATCGCCACAACGGCAATGTGACAAGTGAAGTGAGCACGCCCTCTTCTTTTGTTCGATTCAATGACCTCAGCAACTAAGGTTATCCGGCCAGTTCGTAACGAATGTTGTTCAGCCAATGCTTTCTGACAATTGACAAGGCGAGTTCATAAAACAGATGTGTTACAAGTATACTGAATTTTGAAAGGTTATAAATTAAATCTTGTGTGGTTTAATTCCTGATCGAGAAATATTGGAAACCAAGTTTCTTCACGACGTTTTGATTGTTAGTATCCACAATCGTCTTCGGGTGATAACTGGACTTATTCCTCCGAGATCTAACTTATTATAGGCCATTCGAGTGCTTTCACCTTTCCCCTCTTCCCTCTCTTCGCTTCATCGGTTTTTGCGGAAGCTGACCGTTTGGCGGGAGTTGGTCATGTTCCGCTTGATTAAATGTTTCCATATGTTGCGTATCTCTACGCTAGCTTGGCTAAATGTGTTGTTGGATAACATATACGCGGCTTCTTCGAATTTTCTCCTAAACCAGTGTTCTTCCTTGTGGATGATTTCAGCTTGAGCCCACTTGATGTTATGTTGATGAGTCCAACCGTGCTCTGCTATTCCTGACTAGCTGGTTTCTCCTCGCTGTGTGTGTTTCTTATGCTTGCAGTTGGTTTGTTAAAACAAGGTTTCGGTAAATCAAATCTTGTTCGAGGTCGGGTTTTGAATAAACATTTTGCAGGTGATATGCAAGTGGCACTTGAAGGAGTAATTTTGTGTATGAACAGAAAGTTTTCAAAACGGTTTAGTGGAGACTTTTTACTTGATTTCCAGCTTTTTCCAGTCCTTTTTCTACTGTTTGCACCGATCTCTCAGCCATGTCATTACTTTGCTTTTTCGCAACCAAAGAGATCCTGTCTTTGAAACGGATCTTCATGTGTGATAAAAAGTGGATACTCTAAGATAACAGGAGTCGTCCAGGATAATGATTGGACATCGATTATGAAATTTTTGAAACAACTGAATAAATCACCTGCGCAGAACCCAGGGGTATATCTGGATGAAAAGAGGACTTCTGGTTAATGCAGCTTTCTAATAGTGTAGGTTATTATTAGACTGAAAGTGGGCTATTCCAACAGTTCGATTTGAATAATTCATAGAGGAATTTTTATGTGCATAATCAACCTTGGTAGAAAATCATTTAGTTGAACACGATGATATCATCTTTCTATTCTATTCGTGTCGTGCATTCGTGCATTAATGGTTACACATACCGGGTGATACCGACATTATCTCATAAAGTTATTGTCAATAAAACACCTCCCTGCCTCTATAACAAAATAACTTATAAGAAAAGGTTTATTGTCTAACAGGAGTAATCCCAATTACAAGACAAATATAATTAAGTTTACATCTATGACCAAGTATGAGTACAATGGAATATAACGAATAGCATATAAAATCAGCAGAGTAATATAGTAGTATATTATACAGTGATACATTCATATAATAATAATAAAAAAAGATATACTATAGAATTCTAATAGAATTGGCAGTGTGCAGAGAGTTGAAATTACAAGTTGTCACTGCACAAATACGACCAGGCATTTTCCAATGTTCTTTAATGGTTAGACAATTATTGCTATTACTTACAAAAATGTGAATATTTCCAATTTTTACCCTAATTTAATTTAAAAATGTTCAAAAAACAAAAAAGTGCCACAATGGCAAAAAACAAATCTCAAAACGGAATAACAGAGTGTTATATGGCGTCTACTCGTTACATCGGTTTAAAAAATGTTTAAAAGCACAAAAATATACGACTTTCACAATAACAAACTCAATGTTTCAGAAACCTAATTGGTATAGTTAAATAAAAATTCAATCAAAATAAACAAAAACAACATAATACTGTCCGGAAATAATCCTCAAAAAATGTTAAAATAACACACAGTCTTATGGCACCTACTAAAAGTGTCACCAGTATTACGTCACATCTGCTCGGTGCTTGTTTAACGTGGCGATATGTAAGTAAGCAATCCTGTATGTCTATAATCATTGACCCGGTATAACCTTGCGAAATTTTTGTGATTCATGATGAGTACTATAAGCAGGTAGTTCAGTAAATAACGTTATGTATCATGAATAGTTTTCGTAACGTACGAAAATAATCACTTTTACAGACATATTTTTAATACCCTGCATTTTAAATATACAAAACATCAAATCTTGTCTCTGTATATATCCGTTAAGAAGAGAAAAATCCATTCCTCATTTATAATTACTATTCTTTTGAATCTGCATACACAATTCAAATTGTATACTCACTATATCCACTTTGAATCATTATTATTATATTGAGTATAAACTGACATGTTTGATACCATGCAGTTATCTATGAATTCCTTTCTTTCTTTGGAGTTCAAACAAACCATCAGTCACTTACCCACGGATAAGAATGCGGGACATCCGGTTTCTTCACATCCACCTTCATCTTGATACATTTTTTATTGCTATGTAGAATCAGGAAAGCAAACCTCCAATCACGTAGGCGTATCTACATCTCGACGATCAACGAAAAACAAACTGCGGTAATTTCGTTTTCCGCGTTTGACGGATAACGCGAAAACTCGAGAGGAAATGTCATAAAAGGCTACTAGCACGCTATTTTTCTACACACGCCACTCTGTCGTCTGCGAAACGGCAGTCGATAAACAAACGACGGACGCCTGCGCCATATTCACTCACGCTTTTCTGTACGGAGCGGAGGCTGGGATTTGGGGGCGGTTTTCGGACTGATAAGAAATAGGTCGGGAAAGTAGGCCGGGACAGGGAAAGTGCGAAACAGGCCAATGTCACTACGCAAGGGATTTCTGCGGTTGTGAATGCAGTTCGCATCTGTTTCAGAGTGACCTTCATGACGGGATGAAATGGAATATTTGCAGAAGAAGTATTGTTAGGATACTGGACGGACACATCAGGAGGGTAGCATTATATGTATCTCTCCTGAATAACCACCAGTATGCTTATCAAACCTCACAATTTGATCTCCACAAACTTTATTTGAAAAATAAATCTCAACATGTTTCGCTAAGACATTAGCGACAGTAATGTCGCTGCACCTTCGCCGAGGCCACCGTGAGACACCTCAAGGCAAAGACAGTGTGTGTTCGGCGAGTCTTGGCCTACACCTGCCAATATAAAGGAGATGTTTCCTAGTAACCTGTCCACCTTCCTGGAAAGGACAGGATGGAAGATGACCTAGGAGGACAACTCCTCGGGAGGATGTACAAAGGGTCTTCTCTACTCTACAGATACAGATATATTGACCACAATTTGTGAGAAATGTTTTAAATATTGATTTATCTCATATTTTTTTTTATAATCGATACTGTACTATACTGATCTGTGCTAGACATAATAATAAACTATTATTATTATTATCATTATTATACTTTTTTGACATATCATTGATTTATGAAAACAATTTGAGTAATGTTTGTGCCTTGTGTGAGGCTAATGTGTGTGGCTTGCGTTGTGCCTGATTTGTTGGACCACAACAAAATCATTATGACTGCTTTGATAGACTGTTTGCTTCCGAAAGAACACTCAGTATTTGTTATGATAATTATAGTGAAACTGATGTCAATTTTGTAAATTATTATATTTCATAAACTAGCTCCTTTCCGCGACTTTTCTAGTTGACAGTTTTTCGATTTTTGCATATTTTCTAACAGCATCTGCTGGCGCCAAATAGACGATTGAAAGTGTGTTGATGGAACGCATTTTGCGGGAGTTGAGGAAGTTGAAACCATAGTTCATATTGATGTGTATACTACTCTGTTCAGGAAAAAAAGTGAATTTCAATGTTTCGCAAAAAAACATCCTTTAACATAATTTCAATATTGTCCTCTCCAAGGTGTTTCCCCTCAGATATAATACATATGTGCCAGCGTTTTTTCAATCCATGAAGCAGTTTTGATATGAACTTTTTGGTATGTCCTCGAACTCTCCCAGCGATTCGTTTTTTATCTCTTCAATCGTCACAAAACGCCGTTATTTCATGAGTCTCTTCAATTTTGGGAACAGAAAAATGTCATAGGGAAGCAAATCTGATGAATAAGTAGATACACTATGCCGGGTTCATGGCACAGGAAATTCAACTAACAGAAGCAATGATCGACCGTTTTGCGTACGTTTTCGAACGTTTTGCGTGCGTTTTCGACCGTTGTGGGTGCGTTTTCAATCGTTTTGGGTGCATTTTCAAACTTTTTGCGTGCGTTTTCGATCGTTTTGCGTGCGTTTTCGACCGTTTTGGGTGCGTTTTCAATTGTTTTGGGTGCATTTTCGAACTTTTTGCATGCGTTTTCGATCGTTTTCCGTGCGTTTTCGACCGTGCTTGCGTTCTCGAACGCAAACGATCGAGAACGCACGGAAAACGTTCGAAAACGCACGTAAACGATCGAAAACGCACAGAAAATGAACAAAAACGCACGCAAAAAGTTCTAAAACGCACACAAAACGGTTGAAAACGCACCATTTTAACCAAAATGGTCGAAAATGGTCGAAAACGCACGCAAAACGCTTGAAAACGCACGCAAAACGTTTGAAAACGCACGCAAAACGGTTGAAAACGCACCATTTTGACCAAAATGGTCTAAAACGCACGCAAAACGTTTGAAAACGCACGGAAAACGTTCGAAAATGCACGTAAACGATCGAAAACGCACGGAAAATAAACAAAAACGCACGCAAAAAGTTCTAAAACGCACACAAAACGGTTGAAAACCCACCATTTTCACTAAAATGGTCGAAAATGGTCGAAAACGCACGCAAAATGCTTGAAAATGCACGCAAAACGTTTGAAAACGCACGCAAAACGGTTGAAAACGCACCATTTTCACCAAAATGGTCGAAAACGCACGCAAAACGTTTGAAAACGCACTGAAAACGTTCGAAAACGCACGTAAACGATCGAAAATTCACGGAAAATGAACAAAAACGCACGCACAAAGTTCTAAAACGCACACAAAACGGTTGAAAACGCACCATTTTGACCAAAATGGTCGAAAATGGTCGAAAACGCACGCAAAACGTTTGAAAACGCACGCAAAACGTTTGAAAACGCACGCAAAACGGTCATTGCTTCTGTTAGTTGAATTTTCTATGCCATGAAACCGGCATAGTGTATCTACTTGAATACGGTGGCTAAGGCAACGACGAGTGAGCAGGGGCATATTCGTGATGCAAAGCGGCAAATCAGTTCAAGAAAATACTTCTTATTTACCGTTAAACCATGGGACAAGAACTCCTGATGCACTATGCCACGGCATTCAAAGAAAACAGTTAGTAAAACCTTGGCATCTGTGCATTGTACGTGCTCTCTATTGGGCCGATTTGCTTTGGTTTCCATGTAATAACCGTAAAACCATGACATATGTTCGAGACGGTGTATCAACATAAAAAAAAATAAGTCGAGTGAATTTCATCCTAGTTTAATATTTTACTCACTTGCTGGAACCAGGTTTTGCTTTGGAAGTTGATATGAGTTCATGTGATAGTTCGAATAAAAGGATAAATCCAAAATCATAAGAGGTCTAGAAATCTTACCTTATATACCCCTCTTAATGGGTCCCACACCCATACACAGAAGATTCTAATGATTTTCAATTACCTACTATTTCCACCACATTCCAGAATGTACTGGTATACTGTGGAATGCTTTCCAACCCTCGAATGGGCCATCTAGATTGTTCTAGAGGCCTTGAATAATTTTAATTCGATTAGAAAAAAGTTACTTCAAAATATCAATAACAATTTAACCGTGTTGACATTACTTTAATTCAGGGTCTTTTTTTTCCTATGTTTTCAAAAAATAACTATTGGTACAGAAATAGTAAACATACTTCAAATTAAATTGTCCTCTTTTCGACGATTCTTGGTTCTCATACGTTCATTATTCCACGGCTGTACTTCCCCGGAACCGAATGTATTGAAAATCACCGCTGAAACAATAAATATTCCGGATGTCAGGTAGAAAATGATTCCCCACTGATTTGGATCACCCTGAAAAGTAAAATGAATAAAATGATGATCAAATTCTTTTCAAGTAATCTTCGTATCAAGAAATTTTTATTGAAAAACTGGGTATGCTACATTCAATCCCACAATGGAAATATAGCACACTAACCCACTCACGATACTCACTTCATTGATGACAATATACTGCACTGTCGTCAATCCAATTGCAGTGCAGAACGTTCCGAATTGACTGGTTATGCCCATCAAAACAGCTCCATGATTTGGTGCTAAATCGAGATGGTTGAACAAAAAACCACTTATGTTGGCGCCCAAAAATCCAAACGTTACCATCAATAAAACAACAGCTTTGTAGGCATCCTCGGGGCCACTATTGCCAAGAACTATGAGGACAATACAGGGGGCTAAAGAACCTGGAAACCAAAAATGAATATCTGTGAAAAATCCCAATTACTCTACTCGTTGAATAATGTAATTTCTAACCTATATTTTTATTCATTACAGGGTTGAAAAATCCACCAGTTTCATGACTAGAATTGGCAGTTCATTAAAAAAAATGATTTGAAGTCACAAGCTAGCTTGTTAAATATTTCAAATATTTCAAGAATGACAACTTTCATTGCTTCAAATTAATTTTTGAAAGAGGAAAATCTATTTCCGTAGAGTCTTTGACTAGAGTAGTGGTTGGTATGGGTAATCTTGAGTAGTTAGTTTGACGAAGGGTATAATAATTGGAGTAACCGCTAAATATCAATTTATGTTTGTTAATTAAACATACTGTTTCTAAAGCGAAGATTCCAAAAACTGTCAAAATTTTATGTAATTCAAATAGGGGTTTGCAGGAGTCTCGATTTTTGACATTGCACATGAATTTTATAGCCCTTTTCTGAATTCCATAACAAACCAAGATCCTTATAAGTTATTCTCACTGCAAAACACCTTGAAGCTATATTTTTATTGAGGGTTACAATGTAATCGGCAAATTTGAGTTTATTGACAATTATTACCCCCAAAAATTTAGTACTAGGTCTGTTTTCAATTATTCTGTCCGTGTCCTGTGTTGGTAAAGGAATGCTGTTAATAAAGCAGTGAATTGATCTTAAATTCGTTTTGGAAACTTTGAAAGACAGCAGATTAGAGTCGCACCACTTTTTATTTTTTTATGCACTTATAATCTCGTGGAAATTACATAAAGTTTTATCACGCCATAATATTGTGGTGTCATCGGCGAATAAGGTAAATGTTCCTTCTATATCGATTGACGTTAAATCGTTTATGTATAGCAGGAAAAGTGTCGGTCTCAGTATTGAACCTTGTGGTAGAAAAAAATGAGGATACGGTATAAAAGTAATATGTAGTTTTAGACTCACCTATGGTATGCATTATTTTTCTGCAGGTTCCTATTTTACACAATCCTTTTATAATGATCATATCGGATATGAAACTGAAAACGAAAGACATGCTCCATTTGACAAGCAGTGGAAGCGTACTCAGAGCCCCATTCTGAAAAAATAAAAACGAACCACTGATAAGTTGTATTCAATAGTTGCTAGTCCTTCAAATAGATGCTTCACCTAATGCACTCAAAAGAACAAATATGAAGACACTAGTTTCGTGACAGACCATTTCAAACAATTAGTTTCAATATTTATTTATTATCCCAAAACTTCATCTTTCTAACTTCAAAACTGACAAAATTCAATGCAATCTTTGAACCCCTACTTTCCTGATTTCCTTTCCTGATGCTTATTTAGGGTATACAAATAAACTATCTGGATATTTGAAGATCACAGTAGACGCAACGCGTAATGGCTTACTGCGTTGCGTCAAGTACGTATAGAATGTGCAGCCGTTGGGTTGTCTATTATTTACCTGGGCGAACTACTGATTTGTCAGGTATAAACAGGTATATCGATGCCAGTTACTTTGACTGATTAGATAATGAAAAAAAATTATATCATCATAAGCGCTGTTTCATTGCGAACACGTTGATATAGGGTTGTCTCCAGAAAGTTCAGTTTCAGAAAAATCTGGAGTGTATAAGTTATCATGTGGGTCATGCCCGATGTTTTATATAGGTCAAACCGGAAGAACGTTCAATGTCCGCATGAAGGAACACAAAAATAGTTTCCAGAATGGAAAAATAAGTTTCACATGTGCCACTTATTTGATCACAGAGGGACATGAGTTCAACCATGAATACAAGATCATCCATTTGAAGAAGAAAGGTTTGAAACTCAACCTGTTGGAGAGTATGGAAATGAACAAATTCAAAAACTCTCAATATCTTATGAGAATCAAACAATAAACTGTATTAATTAGTTTAAATTTAGTCTGCGTACAACTTTTTGTAAAGTCGAACTTTGTCATTACAGCAATATGATGGAAGAAATGTTATCAAACTTTTGTGTGATTTTCACTATAACAGGTTTTACAAAAGTCACGACACGTGTTTTGCTGTACAATAGCTTTCTCAAGCGTTGTATAGCGAAAATCATACAATTAACTGTATCAAGTAACGGCCAGTTATCAAATTTCTCACCTAACAAACTGTTAGAAGGTTCGAGAAATTTTATAATGGTGATTGTTTTCAGAGTTAGTATTTCCTTCTATTGAATTTCATATAATATCAGCATCATTCACAATATGTATATCTTTACTTACTGACTTGATATCAAATTTCATGACGTTTTTGAAGTAAATGGGAATATCTGTCGTCAATATGTGTGAACCCCAGTCGAATCCACAGTGCGCAAGGAGGAGAGCCAAAAAACTTCCAGAGGTCAGGATTTTCTTCCATGGTGTCGACAGTAGCTGAAAAAAAGCCTAAATAACATGTTTGATTAAAAGCTGGGCTCTTTCAACTGTGTTCAACTCAATCACTGCTCAGAGGGAAATTATTTGTTGATATGTTGAACAACAAACTTACTTGTGTTCTGTTAGCAGGTGGTAAACTATTCTCTATGTAGTTTTTTTCTTCTTGTGTAATAGATGAATGTGTGGCAGGATTCGAATTATAAAGCATGTTCTATGAGCTCCAGCATATACAGCGTTGTCAGCTTGCTCAGTCTGAATCTTCTACAAAAGTATCATCCATCTTCTCGAAATAGTTGGGCCTTCTAAAAATTGTTCGTGAATATTCAAAATCAATGATGTGTAAGATGCCGTTATCGTCTTTCAGCATGATTTCATCTTCTAGTTCCAACATTCTGCAACAACTGATTTTAATTTCACAAGTCCGTTTACTAAAACGGATTAACGGAAAAACAGATTTTAAACAGATTACAGCAAACCGACATTTACATTGTCTGTATCTGTGGCGATTGAGATACCAGCCAGTTCTGTTTGAACCACGCTCGTATTTTTTCCCATTCCCCACTGTATTCTTAGGTTAAGTGATCTGGAGTACACCTCCTGAGACTTCTTTGGTTTTTGAACCTTCTGTATATATACGTATTGCATTTGTAGCATCTCACTCTGTGTTCTGTTTTATTTGTATTTTGTAGAACACTTACATTATTTGCAAAACTAAAGAATAATAAGTGAGATTCTACATATAAAGCTACCGACTTTGGCCGCTTACATTTAAGCGAAATTAAAGGCGTTTGTGAATACGGTGCATACAAAACTGAAGCTTACCTCTTAAGCTTCACTTACTGGTGTACGGCGATTACGGACATTAGTCCATGTGAACTACAGAATGTATCTAATAGGTTGTTGCAAGAGTTTTGTCCGTTTTAATGTTATTATGTAGGAGTGACTTTCAAAGAAAGGGCTATTATAGTTTTCACTTTATTTCATTACAAACTAACTGAACAAGCCAACGAAAGACTTGCAAAAATGATCGCCACAACGCCAACTTGATAAGTGAAGTGAGCACGCCCTCTTCTTTTGTTCGATTCAATGGCCTCAGCAACTAAGGCTATCCGGCCAGTTCGTAACGAATGTTGTTCAGCCAATGATTTCTGACAATTGACAAGGCGAGTTCATAAAACAGGTGTGTTACAAATACACTGAATTTTAAAAGGTTATAAATTAAATCTTGTGTGGTTTAATTCCTGATCGAGAAATATTGGAAACACTAATTTGGTTTACCCCATGGTTCTAAGGGATGGAAAACGAAACCCCTAAAATTTATTTCCAATGTAACTTTTTGTCATATTATTTGTTTACCATTTAAAAATTTATTTCCGATAGCATAATTAACTATTTGAGCGGATTTTGAATTTACCACCATGTTTATGTCATTTGTAAATATAATCAAGAGTATTGGGCCCAATATAATACCCTTATGCACTATATTATAATAAACAAATCAACAAAATGCCAACGATATCAACCAAAAAAACTGATATGGCCATTATGGTTATAAGAAGAACACGCTATTTGGGAAGAAATATAGAATTATATGCCGTCACAAACAATTATAAGCCCTTTCTAAGAGCAAATCACAAAGTTGTACGATTACCGCCATATCACCCGGATTTGAATCCAATTGAGTTAATTTGGGCTGTACTGGAATATTATTACGTGGAAAATAAAAATGTTACTTTCAAGTCAAAGATGTCATGCAATATTGAGATGAATTTTTTTAACAATTTTTTTCCAATGGAAATCTCGTTGTGAACGAACAAAGAATTTTGTCATTATTAATATTTTAGGTAGTAAGTGACAAGAAATTATAACTTATTCCTAAATGGTGTACCAAACAAACAAAACAAACTCATTATTTCCAACATTCTGAACATAATCCAAGTTGCCGACTGATTACCAAGTTGTTTTTTTACAATCGTTATGACTCGTAAATTTTTTGATGAATAGTTTTACGCTGCTGCAACGATATAAATAAACATCAATAATTCAGTAGCCGGATTATTCAAGGATATTCGAATTCGAGGGAGATTCAAGAACAGCGAAGAAACATTTTGAAAGTCTTTTGTTGACATGAATGTTTTCTTTATATGCAGAGACATTTGAAGTTTGTTTTTTTTTATATCGTGATTTTTTTCCCAAAAACAACACCGTAATCATGCCTCAGGCACCGTATTCACCAGACTTGGTCCCCTGCGACTTTTTCCTGTTTCCAAGATTGAAGAGATCCGTGAAAGGATTGCGTTTTGCGAAGATTGAGGAGATTAAAACCGCTACGAGGATTGGAAGAAATGCTGGTACAAGATGACAAAATTGAAATTGATGAATAAATAAATATGTTTTGGGGAAAATGAAAATTCAGATTAGTATGTAATATATCTGAACACGTCTCACCTGAACATCCGGGTTGATACTTGCTGAAGGATCATTCATGGCTACAATTCCAATTGACATAGAGGACCGTATACATGAGCTCAAAAAGGACAAAAACCCACACATTAATATCTGNTTCATTCAAAAAACTATTAAAACCAAATGCAATTTCAAAACCAAAACTAACCGGAGTCAGAAACATAAGTGTTCCTTCGAGCCGGATCATTTTTGGAGACGATGGATAAAGGAATATCTACCTGTTTCAACCAAGAGAACTAAGTGGTTTTTTTCGTCCCTAAGAAAAGTCAAGGTTGGTGATGTGGTTATTATAGTTGACAACCAGCTTTTGAGAAACACCTGGCCAAAAGGTATCGTTACTGAGGATTATCAAGGAACAGATGGTCACATTCGAGTGGTAGATGTTAAAATGTCCATGGACACATTTAGGAGATTTAGGAAGGAGTGTTCTTACGGATTATTATTTATTAGTTGAAGAAGAGGAGCTCTTCACCAGGAGGGAGTATTTCTAAGGATTATTTATCTGAAATGTTTATTTTGTTTATTTGCTCCTGTACTATTAATTTATTAGAGATTTTTTGAATAGTTGGCAAAAATAAACAGAATTTGAATACTTGTCGAACATAAAAACCACCTCTTGTCATTCAAAGTATTTTCATTCAGAAAAACTTTTAAAACCAAAGGCAATTTCAAAATCAAAACTAACCGGGGTCAGAAACAAAGCCCATCGAGTAACAAGTTGTTTTTACTCCCTGAAAGAATATGAAAATAATACAAATCATCTGAAGGAACAATTCGTTCAAGCCAGTCTCAACTCCCTACACTGGAGGTTAATGGACTGACACCTATCAGAAAACAACTACTCCCCTGGCTGATACCTGCATATGCTATAAGCGATACAATTGCAGCAACGAATTGTTCCTTTAGATGATTAGATTCATAGCCAGTCTTCATGTATGCCCACTGACTATATGCGAAAATAATATTTTTGTACAACATGTGTTGTAAATGATATGTGATAATTCATGTATCAAANGACTAGTGATACCTCTCAAAACTTATGAAAGAAACTTGATTTGATTCAAACTTACCAGAGTTCTGTGCGTTATCTGATTTTCGTGAGTTTTCTTCATTGGTGTAGTTGATTTCTTTTGGAACAGACTCATAACGACATGCCATTTCCAGATGAATTGAATCTCTGGAACGATTACGAAACAATGCATGAAGTAGGAATAACTTTCATTTATATATCAACGAATAAAAAAAGAAGAATTTCAACAACTCTATGCAAATGAACCAAGAAACCGGCGTCTGTTAGTGATAAAGTTATTATAAATGAATGAATCAACATATGCACGAAAAATGCACGAAAAATGCATAGCAAATGAATAGCAATGAACGAAACAAAAATGGGTACTTGAAGCAAAAGTTCAAGTTATTTTGGTCTGTCTTTCAGCCAAAGTCTGTCCCATCATCACTTTGGAGTAACCATTCCGTTGAAGATCATTTTTGATGATGCCTAGTTCCTTCTCAAGACCTTCATTCATATAACTGAGCTCGAAAGCATAGTTCATTAGAATTTTGATGATTTCTCTTTTGGTAGATTGATGGTGGTTGGATTCGTGGTTAGGATACTGTCCCGTGTGAGTGGGTTTACGATATACAAACGTTTCCTACTTAGAGTCGATCCTCTTCACCAATACGTCTGAGAATGACAATTCGTTGTAGACTTCCTTCTCCATTGTGAGCTTCTTCAATGGCTAGTGGCGATCCCATTGGTAGTTCTTTATCTTGCATAAATAATTCGTCCTTCAGTTGGAAATAGCAGTTTAGTACACAGCATCCTACCAATTCCATGGTTACTTCCATAGGTCCAGGTCCCCGTCTTCAGATAGCTTCCTCTGTATGATTAGAAGTGCTTCTTCCACGGGCATGCTGGTATAAAGGCTTTCCGTGTCGGAACTGATTGATTGATCTTACTCTGAATTCTCCACAAAAGTTGATGTTTCCCCTTGTAATGGTTGCATTATTGGAAGTAAAAATCTGGACAAGTTTTGAGTAGCTGAATTTCTGGAGCTAATGATCGGTCTGGGTGGGACACCCTTCTTGTGGATTTTGGGTAGTCCATACACGTGGTGGGTTCTTAGCGATGTTTTTCCCGAAAAATAGACTTGGTGTTTTCTCAAAGTCTGGTACGATTTACTTCCAATTAATGCAGTATGGTCGCGTGTATTGTCCCTTCTGAAGAACCTCTTCGATCTCCTGTTCGTAGATATCAGTAGCCATCACCACAGTAGCGTTTCCCTTATCTGCAGGTTGGATGTTGATGATGTTATCTCTACGTAGGTCGTTCATAGCTGTGTGTTGAAATTGATTCTGATGTCTTAGCATATCTTCAATCTTAACAAAGATTGGTCCATGATCCTCTTCCAATGTCTCCCTTCCTATTTCTTAAAATCGTTCTGTGGCATCCTGCATCAAATATTCGACCTCTTCCAAAGGTGGTAATGGATTTGAGAACTTGAAAGTCCGCATTGCCGAACACGAGAAACACACACAACAAGGAGAAATCAGCACATCGAATCTCAAGCTGAGATCATCCACAGGGAGGAACACTGGTTTGGGAGGAAATTCAAAGAAACCGCATATATGTTGTTCAACAATGTATTCAGCCAAAGTTAGCGTAGAGATACGCAATATATGGAAACCCATAATAGAGCGGAAAACGACCAAAATACAAAAATAAATATCAAAACTGCTATATTACATCCAAACTAATGTTTTAATATCATCAAATATATTTGAAAGCACAGCAACAGCTATACCAATATAGATACACAATATTTCAGGTATTACACAAAATTAAATTCTAATATGAGTATCATCATGTATTCTCATCCCCTTTTGGGCTCTTAGTTCTCACTCGTTCATAATTCCATGGCTGTACCTCTCCGGATCCAAAGAAAAAGAAAATAACCGTTGAGGTGATGAATATTCCAGAAGTGAGGTAGAAAATGATCCCCCACTGATTTGGGTCATCCTGAAATTGAAATAAATAATTATCAAATGATGGAGAAATTGAAAAGTTAATTTCTGACGAATATAAATTTTTATGACGTGTAAATATTGTTGTGAATCATGCCCTAAAGGAAATAACGTCGGCCGCCGCTGGTAGCTATAAATCAATTGTGACGTGACCACGCCTAAGTTGACGTGACATTCCAGACGTGGCGTTGCTTCGAGAATAATTCTATCGGATTCAATGGAATTCCGTCGAAGTTCCTACCGCCATCGATTACCATATATGTATAATCGCGACCCACTCTCCTATCGATATAGTCAAGTATAAGTGACAGTGCGGTACGCTCCGATCTAAAGCGATAAACATTTGAATGATAGTTAATGTTTTGGTTGAAGTGTTTGGTCGTATCAACAGTGAAATGAAGTTAAGTTTGATTATTGTAAGTATAGTCAATTATTGGCAAACCTACGGGAAAAACGTAAAAATATTCAGGACATTTTTAGCTGATCCCACTATAGTGAGACCTACAAGGTCGGTTGAATGACACTGAAGTTCCGTATTTTGGGAACTAGAATGATCTCTTTTTAGATCGAGAATATCAGTGGTTGTTTTTGAAATATTCACCGAAATCTAAAATTGTCGAATTTCGTTTACTGTCTAAAGCCCCAATTTCAAATGATATAAAAAAGACGGAGAAGCTTTCAATACGGTTCCATATTTTTATGATATGATATGAACCAATTTGCAATCCGACGTTTCGTTCGTTAGAATTCATTTCTTCAAATATGGACCTGAGTAGATGAACAAGGCGGGAACCAGCTCACTTCAAGGTCGCTGGTAAGTGATTCAGAGAGAAACTGTAGTGGGTGGAAGAGAGAAACGGGTGACGTAATCGGTGCAGGATGGAATGAGTATCGAAGAGATGTAACTGACAAACGTTGTATAATTATCCAAACACGAAAACGACTACGACAATGACAACGAAATGATAACGAATAAACGTACGCAAAACGGTCGAAACTTTTTCAAAACAACGTATTTTGAAATGTCATTGTCGAATGCTTCGCTCCCCCATTGCCCTCACGTTGAGTCCACCCTCACACATTGAGGAATCGCAGGTTGAACTGTTGAGTTGTAATATTTTTTTTAATCTGATTTATTATTATTAATATACCACTTTCGCGCTTCCAATTTTTATCAAGTCGTATTCCTAACCATTCATGCTCAATTTTGATACCGGCAACATTACATTGCCCAATAAACAACGTTTCATTTTACAACCGGCAACACCGAAAATGATATAAAAAAGACGGAGAAGCTTTCAATACGGTTCCATATTTTTATGATATGATATGAACCAATTTGCAATCCGACGTTTCGTTTGTTAGAATTCATTCCTTCAAATATGAACCTGAGTAGATGAACAAGGTGGGAACGAGTTCATTTCAAGGTCGTGCGTCGCTGGAAGTGTTTCAGAGAGAAACTGTAGTGGGTGGAAGGGAAAAACGTGTGACGTAATCGATGCAGGAAGGAATGAGTATCGAAGAGGTGTAACTGACTAATGGTGTACAATTACTCGAACACGAAAACGACTACGACAATGACAACGAAACGATAACAAATAAACACACGCAAAACGGTCAAAACTCATGTAAAACAACGTATTTTGAAATGTCATTGTCGAATACTTCGCTTCCCCATTGCCCTCACGCGTAACCCCACGACACTTTTGGGTATCCTCTTTCTCTTGATGATGCTAACTTCTGTTAAACCGACATGTTTTTTCTTAAACGATATATTTTGACGCACCCTGTACACTTCGACGCCATGTTTTTTCTTCAATGATGTATTTTGAGACACCCTTACACATTGAGGAATCGCAGGTTGAACTGTTGAGTTGTCATATTTTTTCTTAAATCTGATTCATTATTATTAATATACCACTTCCACGCTTCCAATTTTCATCGAGTCGTATTCCTAACCCTTCATGCTCAGTTTTGATACCGGCAACACTACATTGCCCAATAAAAAACGATTTATTTTACAACCGGCAACACCGAAATCGCGCCAGCAACGTAAAACCTCGATACCATCTCCATCTCTCTTTGCATCTATTACGTCACACGTGTCACTCGCTCTTACACNATGAAATAATAATTTTTCCAAATCTAAGTATATTTTCCTATCTTATAGAAGGAAATGACGATCATAATTTCCCTAACATTCTACGGAAATGAAAAAATGCAGTCAAGTATAATGAATGACTCAATTTCGGTCCCGACAAAACTAACGCTATGAATACCCATCATTCGCAATCATATCCAATATCTTACATTACCGTCGAGGCTAAGGACAACGTCTACCACGCCGTCCTGGGTTCGATTCTCATAACTATAAACATTTTTTATTAGGATCACGTGACAAGGGGGCCGAGGGATGATGCGGAGTCGCAAGGAGGGGCCGATCGGTGATGCGGAGTACTAAGGAGACCGAGGAGTAAGGGGGCCCACGCCCTTTGAATCTCTTCGATACTCATTCCATCCTGCATCGATTACGTAACACGTTTCTCTTTTCCACTCACTAAAGTTTCTCTCTGAAACATTTACCAGCGACGCACGACCTTGAAAGTGAGCTTGTTCCCGCCTTGTTCATCCACTGACCTGTAGTTTTTTCTTCGATTTTTGTAGCCTCTGTAACAAAAGATTCAGCTCTGTCGAGGTTTTGCTCACTGTATTCTTAGATTGCCGTGGCGCAGTGCACCAGGAGTTCTTGCCACGTAGTGGTACGGCCAATAAGGAGTATAATCTTGAAGTTATGCACCACTTGCATGAAACAATTCGAAGAAAACATAAGGTATTGTGGAAAAATAACTCATGGCTTTTGAATAACAATAGTGCACCTGCTCTCACTTGTCATTGCTAGTTAGTGATCTTTTGGCCAAAAACAACACTGTAGTCATGCCTTAGCCATCGTATTCACCAGATTTGGCACTCCACGACTTTTTTCCGTTCCCAACATTGAAGAGACTCATGAAAAGACGACGTTTTGCGACGAATGACGATATGTATGTGTCTATACTTACATCATCGGGAACTATATATTGCACTGTCGTCAGTCCGATAGCAGTGCAAATGGTTCCAAATTGACTAGTGATACCCATCAAGACAGCAGCATGGTTTGGTGATAAGTCAAGATGGTTGAACAGGTAACCACTCATATTAGCGCCTAAAAATCCAAATGTTACTATCAATAAAATAACAGCTTTAGATGCATCTTCAGGTCCACTGTTGCCAAGAATGATGAGAAGAACACATGGAGCTAATGAACCTAAAAATAAATAATAGTAATAATAACAATAGTTGTAAATTATTTGGCATACTGAAAAATAACTCAGGTACACATATGGAACGCCGTTTTACTTTTTATTGTCACAAATATTCATTCCTCAATTTATTCAACTAACAATTTATTTGTTTGAATTTAATTGATTCATGCATTTGTTCGACACATTAAAAACGATTATTTGCAAAATTTGTTCTATTTTATATGACACTTGATTTAAAATGTTACATGAATCAATTTGTTTGATGAAAAGTTGCGAACAGTTATAGCATAGATTCATTGTTTGAAATTTCTGGAAGTAAATGTTTGTCATATATACTTTTTTTGTAACTATCGAATAATTTACTACAATTTCTGTGAAACATGAATAAAATTGTTTGTTGATAACTGTAGTTACATGAATTAAAACGATTTTGATAATTATAATTCGGCGCTAGCGTCGGGCGGATTCTTGCAGAAGCTGAATTTTTAAGTCTGGCAACATAATAGTCTACTGATAGTAACACAATATTCCGTCCGACCGCAGCGCCTAATAAAAATTATCATTTCATTTTTATAAAATACCAAAAGAAAGTAAAAAGGCGTGTCACGCCGTTTCACTTTTTATTAATATTCCTTTGAAATGAGCTGGATTATTTTGTTTGTTGAATTTCAGTGATACATGAATTGATTGTTAATAATTTTTATACGGCGCTGACGTCGGGCGTATTTTTGTGGAACTACATAACTGCATATATGTATGGCGTTGGTCATAGTACAGTAATGATCCGTTCGACCGCAGCGACGAATAAAAATTATCAACAATCAATTTTATTCATGTATCACCTAAATGCAACAATCAAAACAATTCATTTTCACAAAATACTAAGAGAAAATGAAACGGCCTGCTACGCCGTTTTACTTTTTATTAATATTTCTTTGAAATGAGCTGAATTATTTTGTTTGTTGAATTTCAGTGATACATGAATTAAATTGATTGATTGACCGGCGCCACGGTTGAACGGCGTTTTGTCGTACCATAAATGAACTAGCATGTTGTCATATGTAACACTTGAAGTTCTTGATAAATCCGCTCAATACCAGCGCCGAATTAAAATTATCAACAATCGTTTCAAATGTATTTTTCGAATACAACAAACTTTTCAAATCATCAAAAAATTTAATTCTTTGTCAGAAATTAGCTTTTTAAAATGATTGATTAAATAAAATGATACTTGCTTGAGAATGTTTTGTACAAATTTTAAATTGAATGCATTAAAGTAAATGTTGGAAATATTCAACACTTTCAATGAAATTGAAATATAACAATCTCTATTATTCATAGAGAAATATTTAGTATGGAAAGTTAATTTGCTATACGGATTTTCATCAAGTATCGGCCACTTCCATCATAAATTTGATTAATGTACAAAATGAACAACACGGGTCCCAAGAAAGAACCTTGTGGGACACCCATATAGGAGTAGACTGATAAAAATGGACAAAACTTTCAAACAACCTAATAATTATGTCAACAAGCTTACCTATGGCATGCATTACTTTTCTTGTAGTACCAATGCTACATATACTTTTCGATATGATCATGTCAGTTATAAAACTGAACAGCAACGACATGATCCATTTGACAATATGAGGAAGTGTACTCAGTGCCCCATTCTGTAAACAAAAAATGAAACAATTCATTATATTCATGAAAAATTGAAGATATAATTCTATTATTATGGTTTCTTGAAAGCTACGGTTTCAGGGGGGGGAATGAAAGTATGCTATTTTGTGAAGAAAACAAACTGTTGTACCCTGAAATTGAAATGAATTAATGAATGAGTTGAGCAGTAAGTGAAATGTCGGTTATTTATAAACAATAAAGATAAAGGAAACGGAAATGATGAATATGAATGAATAAAACTACAAAATATTTCAAATCAACCTGATTCAAGACGCCGATATCAATATCAGAAATCTTCTTTGGATGATAAGTGACTTATTGCTGGTACTTGAGAATAACTTGTGAGCAGTAGATGAACAAAGAGACTTCTGGCTCAAACGGGAGTGGGGGTAACAACGAAATCGACGCACGAAAAACGATCGAAAGCGCACGAAAAACGATCGAAAACGCATGATAAACGATCGAAAACGCACGGAAAACAACGTATTTTGAAATGTCTTTGTCGACTACTTCGCTCCCCCATTGCCCTCACGTTGAGTCCACAACGCGTAACATCTCAACACTTTTTGATGTCCTCTTTCTCCTGATGATGCTAACTTGGTTAACAAAGATACGAGAATTAGTGCCCTTTTGGCATGTTGGAATGCTAGACTTCTGTTAAACTGATATGTTTTTTGTTAAATGGTATATTTTGACGCACCCTGTACACTTCGACGCCATGTTTTTTCCTTTAAATGATGTATTTTGAGACATACCGTACACAGTCGTATTCCTAACCCTTCATTTTCAAACCGGCAACGCTACATTGCTCCATAAACAACGATTTTTTGTACAACCGGCAACACCTGCTTGCGCCAGCAACCGGTAAAACCTCGATACCATTTCTCTTTGCATCGATTACGTCACACGCGTCTCTCGCTCTTACACACACATACACATCTTTATATGAAATATTAATTATTTCCCAAATCTAAGTATATTTTCCTATCTAAAACAAGATAATGACGATTACATTCTACGGAAATCAAAAAAAATGCTGTCAAGTATAATGAATGAGTCAATTTCGATCTCGAACTGATGAAATTCTCATTTGCACTCATCTCTTTGAGGTGACTTGCATAAATGTCTATCGTGGGAAAGTAGTTTGATTTTGACTGGCATTTACCAGATTCTACAGTGTAGAAACTTTGGAAAAAAATAACTTATGAATCGTTCCTCGATATAGTCCTCAGACTGATTTTGATCCTAAACAAGATTTGGAATTGACAAATAAATATCATAGTGAAGAAGAAAATTGAAGTATTCCAATGATCGAGTAACACATAATACAAAAATGAGAACGGCGCTTCAAAAACAGAGCAGTGAAATAATTTACCCAGAAACTTCAGACTCGGTTTTTAATATCATCGCGAGTTCCAGCAAACAGCTTCGCAGAAAATTCAAAAACTACTCCACTACATTTGATTGTGTTCGTTACATAACTACTATAATGTTCTCATGCTTCATCTCATATCATTTCAATATTGTAGACAACGAAATTTCAACCAGTACCAATAGTGGGTGGCATTCATAAAGTTTCAAGGGGCGTAGGAGTTACTTTTGACAACATCTTAGATTCTATATGTATATTTGATTGTATGTTTTGAAATATTGGTCCAATGGGGAATGTTCCTCCTGACGAAAATCAAGTAGTTTTCATAAAAAAGCTCTAGTACAATGCATTTTAAACTTATCATTTCAACCTTCTTCATTTGGCAACATCCGTTATAGCTAATATAGGACAATGAAACTGTTACCTCTATGAGACAAACAAAGATGACATATTTCAGAGGCGTGCTGTTCTGTTTACTTTCGTTCCGAGTTCCGAGACATTCTGTGACATATGACATTTTGTGCACCTAACCTATCTTTCTCTGTATAAATAAATAACAAAACAACTATTGTTTATGTGGCTTGTGGAGGTGGTATTGAACTATAAATCAATTTGAATACTTTTTGAAGTGAATTTGAAAAACTCATGAATTGAACTCAACTTTATTTTGTTCAAACTTGCATTTGCTGTAATAACCCAAATCGTGGATCAAACTCACTTTAGATTTGTCTTCAAGAGGTAAACTTTTCTCTATGTAAAACCTTTCAGCATGTGTGATTGATGAATGACCGGCAGGAGTATTTGTGCCAAAATAGGAAAAAACGATGCTCCACAGTAATCCTAAGCCGCCATTCAAATAAAATATCATCGGCCATCCATACCAGCTAGCTGCTAAGTAGCCACTTATAAATGTTATCACTACTGTTCCTATTGTTGTACCTGAAAAATATGAATAAATGTCATGTGCAAGGAATGTATATAGTCTGATAATCTGATCAAAAATTATAACAGAACGACTACGTGATAATCTGACTAATGTGACGTTTACTTTGGAAAAAATTAGAAATCATTTATTGTCCACGTCGAAAAAGGAAAACGGTCGGAGTCTCGGTCAGTAAGAGAAAAACAAATTGTACTGCGAGTATTTCACTGTCTTGAAAGAGATCATCAGCCACTAAAAGATGACTTTGTGCATATGTGCTGTAATTCTACGTGTGTACCTCCGAATAACCAACCGGGCATTTCTACATCATTAA